CTTGATCTGAAGGGTTCCCTTTTCCCTGCAACGTCTTTCCTCTTAGCAATCTTACAGTAAAGGAACATGAAAGAGTTTCCAAGCAAACTCCCCCTCACTCTGGACTCTGCTTAAACAAGGGGCTTAAGTGTTCCTCTAGCTGCTGAGTTCCAGCTTCTAAAATAAAACTATGTAGTTAGTCAGTCCTAATTACATATCAAAGAATCTTGCCTTTCAGGCTCCCCTTCAGAGAGAGGGTGGCAAACTGACCTGCAAACTAAATAATGAGCTGCTTGCAAACTGTCTTATTAGCTTCTCCCTTTTCACTGCTTCCCTGGTTGCTTGGACTGCCTCCTTATATACCTCTCCTGGGCCTGGACTGGGTAGGCCACTTTGTTAGGGCCCTCTGTCACACCCAGCGAGCAATCAATCAGCAAGCAGCTGCTCAGAGCACACACCCAAGCACACAAACCTATCAAACAGCCCTCAGCAAGCCTAGCACACAGGCAACCCTGGCTCGGTTGCCTTCCCAGAGCAAAATTTGGTGCATGGTGCCTCTTCCCTTTCCTCCTCTTGCTCCCAGCAAGCTACCAAAGTATCTTCATGAATGAAGAAAAGCAGAACACTTGAACGAATGTCCTGAGAACCAGCTCTGTGAATGAATGAATCCTAAGGATATTGGAGTTAAGAGGATAGGGAGAAAGTGACACAGTTTGGTGCATGATTTTCCATGTCTGTCCAACAAGTTGCATTTGACCAGATGAGAAGGGTTTGCATTAGTCAGACTACCTGTATGTTTTTAGTGAAGCACCTAATTACATATTTTGCTGGACTGGACTAGCGTGTATAAGTAGGGCTAGTACAAGCACTTCTCTCCTAACCAAATCTCTTCACAGGTGCTGTGGATGCATTTTACACATCAGTCCTATGTTCCTATTAAACTAAAACATGGTTCAGTTCCTGGTCACTGCACTAAGATTAGATACCAGCCTTTCCTATCTCTCCCTGTGTGGGACACACAGCTCTTCCATTTCAAGGGGCAAGCAGAAAGGGTGGGGGGAAAGGCAAGGAACTTGAAATATCATTAATCAGATGCCACCTGAAAAATAACTAATAGAAAGCTCACTTAATTAAAAACAAAAGAGTAATTAATTTTCTCCCACAAAAGACCGCTGCCTGGGAACCACTGAAATCAAATTTCCTGTTACCTCAAAGGCTTAAAAGTAGGATCAGTTCCAAACAACGTAATTATTTTCAAATTGCTCTCTCTGTATCTTCTTCTTTTACTTTTATCCTGACTGGAGTAATTTAAAGCGTATCCTTGTTTACATGCATGGCTGGTCTTTTCAACTATCCCCCTCTTTTCAAAAAGTAAGACTCCACTTTCAAGAGAAGCATAGACTTATGCCACAGATGCTCCGAGGTGCCTGCAGCCATACTCCTTCCAGCTGTGATCTAATCCGCTGTCATGATCTAAGATGGGTCAGGCCAAGTCAGTGCTTGAAAAAGGTATGACCTCCAAGGAAAATCCAGAGTACTGCAGAAACAGAGATTCAGTTGATGGCTCTCCTCCCTCAGAGTGAGGACCAAAGTCATGCCCTTGTGTGATATTAGGTTTATAGCTGGAGGTGTCATGCTGTATTTTAGATGAGGTCTAAACCACAGCCCTGATCACTCATGTCTACTGCTGGAACACTGAAATAAATAGGTATCCCCTGTATCTAATCAGTTTTCTTCTTTGTGTTATTGTATTCTGACTTACTAAAATCCTCCACATAAGTTATATTTGGAAAAAAGTTACCTGAATGAATGAACCCTGTGTAAGAGTTTGTATGCTGCCTTCAGAGCCCACAGTAGAAAGGAGTTTTATATGAATATTATAGAAAAGGTAGACCTAAAAGGTGTTTTGTAAATATATTATAAAAATAAAACTAGATTGAAATAACATTAGGGATGAAAAGTCAAGAACATAAAAGCTAACAAACACCGGAATTAAGATGGTCTGTAAAAGCTTGATTTGGCTCCCTCATGTGTATGCATTATAATGTGGTTTTTAATTACATGGCCTCTGCTGTTTTTTTCCACAGGACCCCTGCATCAGTGAATACATGGGTAGCTTTCATTATTATTTTTTATCATTCACATTTAGTGTATGATAAAACACTAAATGTTTTATCATACACTAGGTCTTATTTCTTGTATATCATTACAACACTGAACTGAATATAAAATTGATTTCCTCCTAGGAAATGTTCCTCCTGTGCAATGTTCTTTTGGCAGTACCTGAGTGCTTCTCTAACATTTATGAATTTATCTTCATGAGCTCCTGTGAAGTGAGGTGGTATTTATTATCATCTCCACTTTATAAACAGGGCTAAAACACGGGGAGATTAAGACCAAATTTGTCAAAAATGAATCCTTTAATTGTATGTGCATAACTTGAGATACTTTAGGCCAGATTTTGCAAAGTATTTAATACTTTTACAGCATTTAATATGTTGAAAGCAGAACACTATGTTGCAACTGTGGGTGCTCAGTCCTTCTGGAAATCAGGCTGCACGTGTCTTTTTGGCCATCCAGAAAAAAAAGATGTGCCACTGACAGCCATTCGCAAAGGTTGCTTTCAATGTCTTGCCCTCTCTCCCACAGGAACTAATGCCAGAGCATGCCTATCTGAATGAAAGAGTGGCATGCTGAAAAAAGTCGCATAAGAAGCTGTAACTCCAGGTTCTACAGTCGAGCGCACTCTTGTGGTTAAAGACTCTTCTCATCCTGCTCCTATCCATGCCCCCAGTTCCTTCTTCCCCTTCCCTTCTGTTCCATTTCATTCTTCCCATCCTGGCTTCTTCTCCACTTTTCAGCTGCTATCCAGAGCCTCTGTATATTGGCATCTTCTTGCTCTCTCGTTTCCACATCTGTTGCCTACTTCCTGCTCCCTTTCTATCTGCATGTATATATTCCAGAATTCCCTGCATTTGTACACATCACACCTACTATCTCCTGTCCCCCAGTTCCTCTGCTGCCTGCCCACCTCCATGATCCTTCCCACACCCACTCCAACCCCTCCCCACACACTGGCTGTTCATTCTACTGTGGTTGTTTCCCTCCTCCTTGCTACCTATAAGTGCCAATAACAGGAAATCCTACTAAATTAGTCTCCCTTCTCTTAGTCCCCATGCTTGGCACTGTAAGCTCCTCAGCGTCACAAGAAGCAATAATTGTAGAAAAGTCCTGCTCAGCCCCTGCAGCCCTGTATTGGGACGTGCTCCATATAGACAAAACTTTGGAGAAATTTGTTGCCAGAACAACAAGTCTTAACTAAGTACATATTTACTGATATTTGTCAGAAAGTTATTACTTGGTCAAATTCAGGATGATATTGACAGAGACAACAAGAAGCACATCTCTGGGACCCAGGTGAGACCTCTAGCAAATTTCAAGCCTCCAAAGACTTCTTCCAAAACATTGAGACACCTAGAGTTTCTTAATGAAACAAACGTATCAATGCAATAACATGCACAAAATGACAATTTTCTCCTAATTTCACTCTCAGAAACAACTACACTGTTTTAGCTGAAACTTTCCAAATAAATAAGTAGACAAAATGGAAGCAAGAGGCAGATGCCTGGCATGGAAAAATATCAATCCAAACAACGGAAGTTATAAGCAACTGAAAATGCAGCTTTACAATTGAACAGATCAGGTAACCTTATCTATAGGGACTAATGTTTGATAAACTCCATGATTCCACCCATGTAAATATTTCCATTCACATTTAATTAATATAATTCATCGCAGCAACTAGGACTTTTTCCACATCTAACCATCTTTACTCCACTCCCGTGGGATTACTACCCATCATTTTTATTTCTTCCTGCTTCACATGTTCTAATTTCAAAGCCCTCCATCCTTGTCAGAGGAAAACTACAGACACTCTTAAGCTGATCAGGCTTCCTCTTCAATATTCACAGTTACAGTGGTAGATGTAGAGGAGCAAAATATCAAGACCCTGAACTTAACCAAAATCTTCCTATGAGATATGGCAAAGTACTAACCAACAGGCATCCAGCCATCCCTTTCCATATTTATACTTATAGTTATTAGTGATTTAAGGGAGGATTAACTAAAACCCATGCCGTGACTTTTATATCTTGTTGTTCCCTTCCTAGTCATAACTGACTTTTGGGCTCCATAAAAGCCCTGGCCCTGGGAGCATCAATTGAGAGGAAATATAAAAGAGGACTGACACACATCAATATAAGCCACTAGCTAGAGCAAAAAAGATGACTTTTTAAATTGAATTCAGCCACACACTACACATTTCTGTTTTAGTGGCTGATAAGTGGCTAAATTCTTTTGTTGGCTTTGAAAAGCTCATTTGAAAGAAACAGGTAGTTGAGCACCACTTGTGTACCAAGAAGTGAGGAATCAAAGTTCCCCATATATAGCCACATGATGTATTTATATAAAATGAGTCAATGAAGTATGGGTTTTAACTTGAAGGATGATTTCATTAATTCTCCCCAAAATTATTAAGTTATCCCTGAGCATAGTGGCATGATGTTGGTAGAGAAGAACATGTTTCATTATGGGAGCAAAAAATAATTTAACAAGGCCTGCCTGAAGATACTTTGGGACAGCTAAGGAGCTACATGTCAAATGTATTTTGCCGGTGCTAGAAAAAACAAGGTTCTTGATATGTAGCTGTTTCTGAAAACCAGCTCACTTCAAATTTCCTCCAGCTGGGCATCCAGAATTTGAGGTACACAAAAAAATGAGTTGCTTTAGAAATCTAAGTCTATCATTTTAATAGTAAAGAGGAAAGAAATCTGGGAAAGAAAGGAAAATAACAGATGGAGGAGGATGAAGCAGAAGGGAGCAGAAGGAGAGAGAGAGAGAAATTGAGGGAATCCATTTATTTTATCGTATCAATGTAACCTATCACATTTTAGAGTTGCTAAAAATGCCAGTGGTGGCAGTGACAGCGCAGCATCAAGCAGAGAAACGCAGAGGGCTCTTACTGCAGCATGTGTGTCTGGCTGGCGTCCTTTTGTTTTTCAGGTACCTCGTAGTGCGGGGAAATCTTGCCCAGGCCACTGTCACTCAGCATCCGCTTTCGAACTGCTGGGTTCCACCGATCTGATATTCTAAGAAAACAAGGAGAAAGCAAAAAACAATTCTCTCCTCAGAGATCACCTTTCACAATCAAGTACATCCATTCATTCTTAGCACTTTTTTTGCTTATGCAGTGAGGGGGATTAGCCCGGGAGTTTTTGATCCAGCCATTGGAAAAAAGAAAATAGACACCCTTTATCATGCCTGGGGTCTGCAGGCCACTTCAGGACTGCAGGAAACAGTATGTGAACCTATGCCTTAGAGAAAGAGCTCTTTTTTTTAGCATTATATCTGTTTACCCAGGTCCTTATTTAATAACTGTCTTTCCCCAACCTATCCTGAGCATAAGAATGGAAAAGCCACCCTGGGAAAGCTGCAAAAGACCAAAACCCAACACGGGAAAGGAAGTGCTCACCCAGAGGCCTGTTCCACTACCAGATCATGCATTCCTGGAGGTGTCCCCACCTGCTGCGACACCACCAGCTCAGGGTCCAGGATAAAAATCTCGTCCTGCGAAATTTCCGTCACAAAGTGCAAATGTTCCTGTTAGAACGGAATAAACCATGAATAATAAGTCATCATTGTCATCCCTCTGTCAAGAAGCCATGCTGGCAGAAAGCTAAGCAAAAGTTGCCCTGTCCTGCAGGTTACCCACTTCAGTCTCCTGGGGTATGCATGTGTGGGTGAGTGGATGAGGGTGTGTGGGTATAACCTCACCTCACATTGGAAGTGAGTGAAATCCTAACAAACAGTCAATAGCAAATATCAGATTCACTTCCCCAGGGCCAGGATTTTGTCTTAAGTGAGCTGCAAGTATCAAGTCTATAACAATGCTTAAAAGGCCAGTTACACCTCTCTTTAGTGCCTCAACTGGTCTTTATTTAATGTTTTGCCAACAGCTGAGTGACGTCTCCCAGAGAATAACTGAAATATCCACAAAGACAGCTAAGGCTTACATTTGTGGGTGAATCACTGCTGTCAAGGATCAGATCCACAGCCCACACCTGCAGGCTAGAAATGACCTTAGTACAGGAGAGTATTTCAGAGCCTGGTGCTGTTGTTGCTGCTGCTGTTTTACATTTCCATAATCTCTCCTCTTCTTCTCCATGCCCTACTTTTAGCTCATGCCCTCCCTTCTGCCTTTTCTTGCAGCTCCCCTGAGAGACAGAGGAAGGCTCAGATATTTTGTTACCCTTTCCCTTTCTAGGATTACCAAGGTAAGGGGTGAGGGAGTCCACCTGTAGTCCTGTCTTGGTGAACCATCATGAATCCTGACCTTCCATCCCATGGAGACAGGGACATAGGGGGATCAAGGACATAGTGGGGAAAATCATCAGCTTTACAGATAATAATCCCAGCTGTGCAAAGAACTCAGCAGTACCATATTCCTAGGGGGTCGAGCCAACACTTTATTTGCTTTGATATGTTTGGGCTCATTTTCCTCACCTTGACTATGAGGATGAATTTTAAATTCCCCAAAGACTAAAGTAGCACCTCATCAGTGCTAACACCTGCTTTTGTGTCAAAACAGTGTCTTGTGTACAGACATCCCTTTCAGGAAATGTGTAGGGAATTGAACCAAGATCTCAGCATCTGGAAGCAACAGTTTTAACTGCCTAGACTTGACAATAGCTCCCTTGGATTGGGGAGACAGGAACAGGCTGATAGGTCTATTTTAGGTGTCCATGGTCCCCCAGGAAGCTGCTCCTCCCCACCACAGCACTGCACATGCAAGCAGCCCTCATTTCAGCTACCTGGCTGTGGGCTGCACCACCCTGATCCTTGGGGCATGGGTAAACAGCAAAAGCTGGAGGGAGAGAAGTGGAGCCTGGAGCCCTACGTGCCGTTGCAACAAGAACTGCAAGGAAAATGGCAACTGCATGGGAGCTCCAGTTTAACCCCTCTTGGATCACATGTGGCCCACAAGCTACCAGCTGGACAGCCCTGGTCTATTTTACATGGTCCAGAAAGGGACAAAGATGAAGATGGCTGGCATATTACAGTCACATTTTGCATGTCGGTACAAAACCATCAAGTAGCCTATTGTGATTAAAAACTAAATCCAAAATCAAATGCATGAGGTACAATTCTAAATGAGCCTTTCAATAAATATTATATGATTATCTGTCCCAAAGCCTTAAACTACTGGAGTTATATATCGTTTCTGGTTTTCTTGTGAGCATTTTAAACAGCTGTAACCACAATTTGCAATTTGTAACTTCATATAATTTCCACAGACATCCAATGTCATAGGCCGAGGATTAGGATTTCAGGTGAGTTATGAACAGCAGGAGAGATAAACTCTTAAAGATTCTGCTTTCATGCAGATGTCCTTATTAATAGAGGATAAGAAAGAGGAACGTGTAAAACTGATTTATATATCAGCTTATTTGTAGATAGAAGGATAGAACATCAGCTGGAATAAATTTTCAGTGGAGCTGTCTCAGTCTAAGAAGGTGGCCCAGAATATTTTTCAGTTTTCTGCAAGGTATTGGTAAAACTTTAGGATATACAGGAACAAATGTGGCATAACTTAAAAAAACATCTATAGAAACAGTGACTGGAGGGAGAATTACCTGAGATCTGTCAATGCGGTAAAAACGATCAGCAGAAGTTGCTGCAAGAAAAGGAAAAATACTGAGCTGGGTTAAAAAAAGAGGGACTGAGCAGAACAGAATGCACAAGGTAAACTAAGGTTTGGCCAGCCCTAGTGTTAGACAACCTTGGCCTCACTGGAGTCAGGTCAGCTTGTACAAGGACTGAATTTGGTTCATCATGTACGTGCTCCTGTATTCATAGACAGACATTGCAAAGGCAGAGTTTAACCAACCATGGCATTAAAATTCAAACACAAATATACATCATAATTACAGAGGAATAAATCTGAGGGCCATTGTCAAGTTTATTAATAGTGTCCAAGTCTTATACAGCAATTTTCATCAGTATACCTCAAAGCATTTTACAAAGGAGGTAGGTAACCCTTACCTCTGTGGTTAGTAGTGCCTGACAAATCCTGCTAAACACATGTTCGTTCTGACAAAAAACTCATATTCCCCCTGTCCTTCACCCTGCCATAACTGTTTTCCACTAATGGTCTAGAAATTATATTATTGCCAGGAATGTTCATAGAAACAGTAAATTATAAGTATATAACATAAAAGCATGGTAGAAAAATTTCAGATTAAGTGGCAGCCACACCACAAACCTGATACATAGAGTTCCATTCTAACCAGACCAAAGAGCTATCATATGATTTACATGCCCATTCAAATCAGCTCAAAATCTGAGTATCTAATACTCACAACAAAGTGCCTGTGAAGCAACTGTAGTTCAAATCACTGCCTAATCATTAATAGTTCTTAAATTAATAATAAATTCAAGAAAATTACAATCTATTCACAACACGAGGAGAACAAGAAGGGAAAATCACCATGTAAATAGTTTAATCACTTGCCTAGTTGTTTAGCAACTTAAATCACTATAACTGGAAGCATTTTGCAGTTGTTTTTCACTCAATGTGATGTCTGTTTAACCCCTGTACACAGTTTGGACCATTATATTACTGAGTGGGCATGTCTACATGTTCATTAATGCGCCTTAGTTACTGTGCATTTAGTTTAGTACCTCTAATAAGAAGTACTAACTGAATGCACAGTAACTAGAGTTACTGAACAGTAGAGCCAGCAGTTTTTTAGTGTCATTTACTGCATTTTAGCCTAATAATACTGTGCACTAGGCTATTAGCACGGTTAATAACCACTATACTACTGCGCAGTGTTATTAGGTTAATGTGCAGTATGCATCTCATGTAGAAGCGCCCAGTAACTAGCTTCATGATTGGATTTTTTATGCAGTAGCACAGTTGAAAAAGATGAAAACCAAATCAAAACAAACAAATCCAAAAACTCAGACCCACCTTTGGTTGCAATTTCATTTAGGAAAGAAAACAAAAGAGGAATTATCATTAAGGAGAGAATTTATTCATGTTAAGACAAAAACCATAGTGCCCATAATCTGGCACTTCTTTCTGAAATGAGACTGTACATTTTAGCTGCTAATCCTACTCTCTGGAAGATGTGGCAGACCTAAGGTAAAATGGCAAAAACAGGCTCTTGTATGTGAATGAAATGCATATGCATAGCAAATCTTACCATCTAGGAAGCACCATCTAGGAGAGAGCTTCTGAACAGAAATTACTCTTGTGAAGGAACTTTCCTGATCCTGGGTGAGGAAGGGAAATAATGTTTTTAAAAACTTTCCTTGGTATAAAACTGGATTATTTACAATCCTGACTTTGGTTGAAAAGTAAAACTTAACTAATCTTATCCAACCAGATCTGTTCCCTGGGATCATGACCCATCAGCATAAGCTGCCATAGTAAATGTGATACTACCAATCCCCACACATTCTCTGCCATCTCCTCCTTTTGGCTCAGCAGCCTCCAAAGCCCCAGATAGCTGACTCAGTTGCCCATTATTTCACACAAGAATTCCTCATTTATGGAGATGTAGCATGGTGAATATTGTAATGGAAAGAAGATGTCTAAAGACACATACTCAGAACAAATATGTAAATAGTAAGTAAGTAATGTATCCTGATCACCGAGCTGGCACGTTGTTTTCATGTCACCTTCCCTTCAGGAATCTTAATTTTCTTAGATTGTATGCTCATTAGAGTAGAGACAGTTTCTGCCACTTTGGAAAACATCAACATATTGCAGGAGCCACTGACATATGCACAAAAAATAGCCTTGCATTCATGGATACGATCAACTTCCTGTCTGAAAGGGACACTCTTTAGGAGCCAGCCAAGGTACTGTAACAGTGGTCTTGGTTTTCCAGCTGTGCTCCATGGAACCCTGGGGTTCCTCTATAGGTCATCAGGGGCTCTGCAAAGAGACTGGGAGGTAATGGCTGCACGGGCTGGGAGTTGCTGTGCCACCACTGCTGGGCCAGGTTGCCTGGCTACTTATCAGCTCTCACGGGCTGTGGTGCCAGAGGTAGCAGCTCACTGGCAGAAGTTTTATGAAAGTTGTTTGTTCTTTGGCTTCAGCAAGTTTGAAAACCACTGCATTTTTACAACAGGTCAAAGGAAAACTACGACAGAGAAATACCAGCCTCCCAATCCCTGCCTGAAAAAAGTCTCCCTGAAGGGCTGTCAGTCTTGCTTGCTCTATACCAGGGATAAGGAATGTCCAGCCCACGGGCTGGATCCAGTCAGCAGTGGACTCCATTTCCCAGCCGCCACTGCCTCCATGGCTTGTGCTGGTCTCCATGGACATCCAAGCCTCAGCCAGGCCAGCAGCGCACGCAGCAGAGCAGAGCTGGCCCAGAGCCATGCAGGCAGGGGCAGCTGTCCCGGAGCCAAGTGGGCAGGGGCAGCTGTCCCGGAGCCATGCAGGCAGGGCCGGCTGGGAATGGAGTCTCCAGCGGACCAGCAGTCCGGAGGTTCCTCATCCCTGCTCTATACAGTGCAGAAAGGATGTTAAAATTTAAACTCTAATCCACTCTATGGCAGTATGTTGCCCTGCCATTAGATCATTAGCCATCTTCCTGCTCCTGCTAATGGGACACCTAGATTGAACAATTTACCAACAGAGAAGAGAACACAGTGGGATCGCCCACAAGTAAATATCCAGAATTCTGTAGATTCATGGCCAAATTGTTTCCTAGTTTACTTCCTGAGCAGCAAAGGACAGGATATGACCACAATTTAGAATATGCAATGCAAATGGATAACAGACTATGGTGGGGATGTGCCAGGTTGTAGAGGTTAAAGATGATTACAACAATAACGGGAAAGGAAGATCTTTTGAGAGACCATTGCTTTGTATGTAACTAGCATTTTTGTTTAATTGGGTCTGGGGGTGTTCAAGTTCTTCTTTGTGAGGCAAGGGTAGAAAGGTTGTGGAATCTCCATCACTGGAAGTTTTTAAGTGCATATTAAACAATTATTTGCTTGGGAAATTCCTGTCTTTAAGGCTAGGGACAGATATTACACATAAACTGGTTTAAGTGATCAGAAACTGGTTTAAACCTATAACAGAACCGATGTTCAATACACATAAACCAGTTTGAAAATGGCTGAAAGTGGTTTGAGATAAACCTCGTTGAATGTAGTATCAGACTTAACTCATTTGGGTCAAACCGGCTTATGCAATGTCTGTCCCAAACCCCTTGCTGGTTTAAGCTAAACCACACACTCCCAGCATCCCGACATGCTCTGTCGGCTGGGTGGGACTCACTGCTCCACAGCAGGGCTGGCCCCTCCCCTCTGCTCCCTGGCTGCAGCTCTGGCAGAGACTGACGGCTGCTCCCCTCACACCCCCTTACCACTCCCTGCTAAGCAGGAATTCCCCCCTCCCCTCTGCTTGCAGAGAGGTGTCTGTGTATTAGCTAGCAGACCACATGCTAGTGTCCTGCTGGAGCCTGGCCATGCCCCCTCAGCTCAGCTGAGTGAAAGGGAAGGGAGGGCTGCTCTAGCGCCCAATGGCTTCTACCCTGAGCTACTGCAGACAAGTGCCTGCATTTCTGGGATGTCTATGCAATTACAAACTGGTTTAGCCTAACTAGGTTAGACTAACCTGCAAAGATTGAATCAATTCAGGCTCAGACTTTTTGAATGTCTGTCTCTAGCCTAACAGGGGGTTGGATGAGATAATGACACCAAGTCACTTCCAGACCTGTTTTTTTATTATTATTTTCCCCTTAAAAAGCCATCACCAGGGTGAACTGAAAAAAGGCAGATCTCCAGAGGGATTTTATAGGATTACAGATTTTAAATTCAGACGACACATTACAAATATCTAATCCAGGTGTGGGCAAGATACAGAAAACTAGAGAGAAAGAAGAGAATCCAGGGCACAAATTACATTTCAGCTCTTTGTTGCACTGGGTTGCAGAGGTGGGAGATTTGGCATTCTCAAGAATTTTTTGGTTGGTTTCTTTAGAACTAATGAGGTTGTAATTTTAACCAGACACCAAGTAAATGAAAATTTCAATTGATCAGAACCTGTGTTCTGGATCCGTATGTTAACATGTATTAATGTGTTGCTCATCCACTTATCTAATGATATCAGATATCTTCACAATGATCTGGGATCAAATGAGATTATACCAGCATACATGCATGCCTATTCTTGGCTTCCCTGGTATTCCTAGTCAGCAGAATACCTGCACTGTCTAGTTTTGCTATCATCTGTTACTATGATTATTATTTAGTGTTTTGATGGACTGCATATCTCATTTCCCAGCCAGGTGGATACGTATCAGCCTAGATGAGGCTGCTGCAAGTTGTTAGCAACTTCCTTGGTATCATGCCGGGTTTTGCAAGATTCATCTTATTAACTCTGCCTCTGGGCTTGTTTCTAGCCATCTATCATTGGTTTCCCTTCCTGACCATACAGAATGGAATAGCAAAGGCTGCTCCAGACACCTTATGCAATGCCTCAGCATACTTGGAGACTTGGCGGTTTGCTAGGGTCCCTTATCTGAGTTGGCTGTGCAGTTTTAGCTGTGCAGTTTTAGCTTGTTTTCTGACATAAAGTCACTACCAATCCTCCACCCCACAAAATAAAATTACCTCTCCATTTCCAAACTTACACATACTTTGATTGAGCTATAAAGCCTACAGTCATTTATTGCTAGGGTTTACCTGTCCTTTCCTTCATTTGTCTCTGGGTACTACAGAGTTGCTTCCTTGCATCCACTGCCCTGTGTCTGCTTGCAACATTATGTTTAAGTCCTTGAAGAGACATAAGGAATAGGACAGTGGAAAATCCCACAGCACAGTCTGCTTATGTTATGGTTAATGGGCTCATTTAGTGGTCAAAGAATCAGGTTTGAAATGTACAGAACTAGGCAAATTCCCTGGAATGTAAGGTCCCCTCCCTATCAGGACTGCATCAGCCTTCATCTTTTTTAGTTCCTCCCAAATGTTTAAAACTGGAAATGAGAGTCAAAATGTATTTCCATTTCCACAGACAGGAGTAAGACCTTGCTTAGTTGATAGGTCTTATCTATATGTGTGTGTGCTGTGGGTGAGTCAAGAACTGGTTGAGGGAAAACTATAGCCTACAGAAGCGCGCACGTGTGTGTGTGTGTGTGTGTGAGTGAATGACTGTGCACATGTGTGTGCTTATGCAAACATACAATTATTTACATTATATATCCTGCAATTTGTGATAAAAGCAGCAGATGTGATAAAAGAAGCAGAAGAGGAAAAGAAGAAAGTTTCCTAGGCTATGGCTATATCAGAGGAAGGAGGAATGACAGCAGACATGGGGAAAGGACCTGCCAGAAGATGCAATGGAAGAAACAACATGGCTAAGCACAAACTCAAAGTATAAATTATATGGGCTTCCTCCATGACTTCACTGAACACAGACCAAGTCAGTAACTAAACCAGACTGGACAGGTATTATTCACATGAAAATGAATTGATGTGCAGTAGTCACGTTTGAGGAGAAAACACTACAAAAAAGAAAAAAGAAATCTAGCATCATTTTTTAAATTTGAAGCTTGTCTCATTGATATCATGCCTGCTGACTCTCCCTGTTTCAGACAGTACAGAAAACCCAGGAGAGGAATACAACTGTTTATAGGATCCAAAAGTACCTCCGACATCTTATTAGTGTGATCTGAAGATGATTCTATCAAATGAAGCACTTCACTCTTGCTACTGTTCTGGTTTCTCTTCCTTTCCATAATTTATACTGGGTTGTCAACAAAATATGTAACACCCTCCAACCCCCACAAATTAACCAAACAAGAGAATTTGTACAAGAACTCATAGAGAGTATATAATCATTTGAAGATACTGTAAGTAAACAAATAGAGAAAACAAAATGCAGAGGTAGTGCATTCAAAATAAAATATCATAAAGTATTGATAGAGTGTTAGAAGTGTCATGCTGACTTGTACTCACCAAGACAGTTAAGCAATTCATTTATAAACTGCAAACTACAGGGGAAAGAACTGGGGGTGGGAATGGTTGCTGATATTTCACACTTTATTCCTCTATTTTGCCTTTCCACATCCATATCCACATAGTACAGCATTTTATCTCCATCAGTTACCTTTGTGTGAAGCAGCCATTTTGGTTTATTCTGGATAAGTACTTTCTTTTTTTTTTTTTATAATAGGGGTGCAGGAGCAGAGCAGTTAGCACTGTGCTATAGGTGTGGTGTACCATGGCTCTAACCTTACAACAGAGACTGCCCCACGTCATTTAATTCAGTTGTAAATGGCACCTGGTCGGTTGGCAACAGTCAAAGCCAAATGAATATGATGCTAGCAGTATCATTTCCTTGTATGTTGCGTAAGCATATTTTTTCTTTCCTGTTTTATAATAAAGGTGAATTAAAACTCCTTATTTTATTGGCCAATTCACTAAGCACTAATATTGCCACAAAGCCTGGAGGACAACTGATACAAATGTCAACAGCAGGTTGTTGAAAGTGGAAAGGGAAAAGGAAAAACAACATACATATTGCTTAAATATTGTCAAAAGTGTGTGTGTGTGTGTGTGTGTGTGTGTGTGTGTGTGTGTGTGTGTGTGTGTGTGAGATTGCAACTATACCAGTCTCCATTGCCAATGACTAATTTAGGAGTCAATAAAGTTAATGGCAAATGAGTAATCTAGAGGCATTTTCTATCAAGAACCCTGCGTCAAATTTCAAAGTAATACTATGGATACCAATATGAGCATTTCCTAATTTCCTAATGAAATAACAAATCAAATATCCTGGGCCATGAACAAGGTAATATAGTTAAGAAATGCATACTGCAGACCTAATTTTCAAACCTGGACATCTAAACTGTGAATGCAATTGAGAAGTAGGTCTCTTGGTGTTTAGTTGTATATGCAAAAGACATTTGTTCACCCAGTATAAACAATCCACCTAAAAAAACCTGCATCCCCAGATGTTAATTTAAAGATGGTTTACGTACTTATTCTAATCTGCATTCCATGGTTGCTGGAGGCTCTCTTTGTAACTAATAGATTGCATTGTTTCAGATCCCCAATTCCAAAATATGTTGTATTATTCCATTTCTCAGAAAAAAGTGAAAGTATATATTCAGTTTTTTGCCATGTATACCATAGAACAAACTCTTTAAACTACTTTGGGTTCAGACAGAAGTGACAATTTTTGCCCGATCTGACCACAGGAAGTGGTCTATAGCCATAACCAAACAAGTGCACAGCTGCTTCAAAAATGGCCAATCAGATGCAAATCTGAACCCTCAGATGAGGGGTCAGATGAAGACTTTTCAAAACAGAGCATCTTCTATAACTTGCATCTGTCTGTCTCCCAGCCTGTTGCTGTTTTCACAATGGGAGGGGGAAAAGGGAAGCAGAGGGAGTTCAGTCTGGGGTTTTTTCAGTCCCAGCCAGATGGGTGTATTGGAGCGCCCTGAGGTGGGGGCGTGGGGGGGAGGCTTCAAGTCACCCACCCTACCCTCCAGTGCTGGCTGGGAAACCTCTTGAATGAACTCCCTATGCTCCCTTTCCCCCATTCTGAAACAGGAACTGGCTGGGAGAGAGGAGGAAGCGTTGCTAAGAGAAACCGACTGCAGACTCCCAGCCCACAGTTAGATTCCCCTCCTCCTTGGAATCAACAGTGAACACTTCTTACAAAGCGTTCTCATTTACAGCATGGAGCTGTACTTCTGTCTGCACCCATTGAGACAAAGTGCAGTGATGCTATAAATACTATTTACATCACGCTGCCATGTGATATCAAAATAATTTGAAGAAGGTTCCATAGGCAATCCTATGGGACTGCCCTAATGAGAGAAGAAGGAACACTCAAAGCTTAGAAAGATTGGTAAAGCTAACATAAGATCCACCCTTTGTCTACTGTTTAGTTTCAAATGCAGAAAACATATGCAAATATGATTCAGCCTCCTGCTGAGTCTCCCTCTATACAAATGAAAAGTGGGAAGTAGATGAGATGGAGAAGTCTTATCCATATTTTACCTGGTAATGAACTCTCTGCGTAGTAGAAGTTACTGACTGTAGGTCCTAATAGGAGAATAAAAGAAATGGCAATGACAATTAGGTCATAAAAGAAGCTTATACTAATTAAGAACTGAGTAGATACCACACACAATTTTACTAACACTAATTTGCATTTTAAGTATAAGTTGTGATTATATTTGCATTCCTTCTGTGCTCACTTCTGACCAGTATTCTAGCAAAAAAAATGTATTGGCACCAGCACTCATTTATTCAGAAAATATTAATTGAGTACTGAAGAACACTGGAAAGCACATTTTCATTTAGAAACACCTAGCCCAGAAATGTGATTATAAGAAATTATATGAACTATCATATCTTTACCCCAAAAGGGGACCATAACACACATGACCCAAACCAGTCTGAATTGAGAATAGTCAAGAACTACATGTAAACAAATTAAAACCTAAAAATTATTAGCCAATAATCGTTTGCAAATGCTTTTCAGTACTGAAGAAAGGAAGTTACAAATTATTCACAGCAAATTCTCCCAGGTTTAAAACAACATAATCTCAAAAAAGATACAGAGACTAACACATTTTTGGAGGCTCTTTTATTTTAATAGGAATCTGTCAAATGGCCTAGGCTGAAAGCATGACCTACCAAAAAGCAGATGTCACTTGCACTAATACCATCATGGACAGGAATAAGAGGACACAAGGCCACCTATATCTCCTTGTGAGGCCTACCCAGACAGCAATACTACTGTGTTAATATGGTGCCACTGCCCCACGCTGCATGGGAGGCTCTTCCATGAGCCCCCAAAAGCCCTGAGGCTGCTGCAGGAGCCTGTGAGCCCGGGGCCAGGGGGTGGGGGGTCAGGACTCTAGCTGTGGGCTGGGGGTCTGCATATTAGACTATTTGAGTTGGTCTAATAAGAGATATCAGATTTACCCAAAGAACCTTGTCTGCCAAGTTTTCACAGAGCTTAAGTTGTCCAAAAAATGACACACCTGACATGAAGGTAGTTCTTGTCAGATGAGAACTAACTTTAGACTGGCAATGGGATTAACCCGACATAAAGAACACCTGTAGCCATTGCACAGCCCCCGGGTTGGGAAAACCCAGCCACTCTCTACAGATCTAGGGCTGTGCTGCTTTTACTTCCCACCTGACCAGGCTTCTCTTTACCCAGCGTCTCCCCCATACCCCACTGCCAACTAGTTCCACAGTGTTCGGGCAGTTTATATTATTATAAGCACTGCTCACTGGAACTTTGGATGCTCTATCCTCCAGACTGTCATGCCTCCTAAATTCTTAGGAGACAATTTGTCAAGAGAGGAAATAAAGCACTTCTTTAACTGCCCAAATATTCACTCAGAGTCAGCTCAACCTTCTGGAAACATCTAGTTCATATTTGGAATTGTCGCAGGTTTATCCCAGATGCTGTTGACAGAGCAACTTGGATGCTAATATTATATCATCTCTGCTGCATAACCAATTCTATTCCAACATCATGATATTTATCCTTACATGAACAACCTAGGTTTTGCTAATCATTTATTTGGATTAGAAACCAACACTTTTTTTAAATGATTCCTATGAAGTCCTGCTGTCCTAAGCAAATTTCAGTATCAATAAACACAATTCACATACACCAGATTTTTTATATTGCTTTTTCTATGTTGCTTAAATTGATCCAGCACTCCTTTTCATTTTCTACCCTAAAAATGTTGGATAGTGCTGGATACCCTTAACTTAAAGGCCTTAAAATGATTAAGGGCCTTAAGATGATTTTGCTTCAGCAGTAGGCAACATGAAACACTCCTTATATGCTGTGTTTGTAGCTAGTAATCATCTAAGCTTCAAAAAGGTATGATGTAAGTCAATGAGTAAAAATCAAAATGAGCCACAACTCACCTCTTGTAGACGGTCAATATACATACGACAAGTCTCCAAGTCACAATCTCCTCGTACAACTACAATTCCCAGAGGAATGGCTGTGGGGTCAAAACAATTAAACCTTAAAGAAATCTAAAACACTCTCTCATTCTTTTCTCTTGTTTTGTTTTTTTATAGGTGTTTTACTGTCAATTTTGCACTTTTGTATCTTTTCAAATTATCTGTGCTTAGCATGCTGCTAATACTTAAGAAGCTAATATGGCTCTTCTACTTTATACTCTTCTTTGTCTTTCATCACCACCAATCACATTAACACAAACAAAGAGTAGTACCTCAACAAAAAAATCTTGATCAATAAAGAAGTGATGTTTCTTTTTTAAAGTACTGTTATGGCAGTTTTTAAACAATTTCAAGTTAATGAAAAATAAAAGATCTGAGAATCTTAAGGACCATCTATTTTATAACCTAATTTTTCTTCCATTAGTTGTGTTTGTTGTTGCTTGTTTGCTTATTTTGTAATGGTAGATCTGTTTTGGAGTTAGGTACATCAATAAAAAGTCATAGGACTTTTGGTGATCACTAGCCTGGACATACTTGTTTATTAATGGAAGACTACCATTGGTATTGATTGTATAGTTCTATATTAAGCTAATTTAGCACAGTTACAACTGAAACAATATTGGAGGAAACAATCACATAAACACAAGCAACGGGGCTTGACTGCATTCTTCCAAAATTGATATTAAGCATTCACAGGCCACCTTCCACCAAATTATAACCAGAGCTGGTATAAAATACTCTGTCAAAACTTTTCTTACAAAGAAATATTTTCTATAAACAGAAGCTTCCACCAAAATAGTCAATTCTCACTTTTTCTTGAATAAGCAAAAAAGGGAGGGAACCTAAAAAAAATGTTTTCCCTGAACTGGAGGCACTACTTTTAATGGCAGAAGAGCATTTCAGTCTCTATAGCCTTTTGTTCCTAGACCCTTACAATGGAAGGATACTATGAAGGGTGATAACTCTTACTTTAGTAGGATATCATTAAACAGACAGAAGCAAAAAGACTTGTGGAGCCTGAATTCTGGAAAACAGAACCATTTCAAATAGTCTTCCCTCTTCTTGGAAAGACTTTAACCTAATAGCATAAAAGTAACTAAAGAACCAGCTAGGAAGCAGCAGGAAAGAAATTAATATAGTCACAAGAAATATTCCAGGAAAGGATAAGACCCATTATCTCCAGAAACAAACTAGTTAACTGGACAATGAGGAGCTGTGTAAAGTTACTAATAGTGCCAAGATAAATAGAAAGACTAACTGTACTACAACTGCTCTTGTAATTCAAAATGATTTGGTTAAAAAGGCCCCTGGGATGTTTGCCTATTGAGAACTTCTTCATTCTGATAAGTGAAGGGACAGATAATGACAAGAGATCAAGAAGGAGCGGGTGGGGGGGAGAAGGAATGTCTTTATGGTTCCCCTGACCCACAGAGGCTAGAAGCATGTGGAAGTTTAGCGAAATTTAATGGTCTCAAATAAGGCAGGAGGACTTCTTCAGTAATCAAGCCCTGAAGTAGCCCTAGCAGCCAACCCAGAAAGCAACAGTGGTATTAACACCATATTCATAATAACATTTTAAGTAGGCTATTGTTTAGAAGCCTAGGAAGAGGTTGGATGGTCTCTCAGAGCCAGGAAGAGAGAGGGTGACTGAGAAAAGAAAAAAAGGAGAGATGGGAGGAAAACAGACAAGACCAACAGGAAAGACAGAGAAAATTATTTATCCTTTCTAAAATAATGAAAAATCTTGCTTTCCCTTCTGGCAGTACCTAGTCCTCTACGTCTTTAGTCTCAGAAATGCCAGAAAGCATGTTTTCAAATTCTGATGCCTGAGACCTTTCATTACAAAGAAGAGCTGAAGGCAGGCAAGGGTAGCACCTTAAGGCCCTGCTACAAGTTCAAACTAAAGCTGAATGGAAACCAGTGATAAAGTTGTCACACATTTTCAAGTACTAACTACGTAGCTGGCTGACTCTTTTTATAGCTGGATCAACATTTTTATGTCATGGTAATTACTTTGCGTGTGTGGCCACTCTGAATATATTGCGCAATTAACCAGTTAATTGTGCAATATATGTAATGTGTGGCAGGGGCCTTAGAAACTAATTTATTCAAAAATGCATACTTGTATGTAGATAACAACCTACTTCATTAGACACTATAAAGAAGAGCTGGTGAGGAGAGCCTATAACTGTGCTGAACGTTAGGTGCATTTTATTTGTTCAAGTGCTCTAGGTACAGACTAATTTAGTTTAATCCACAATTATTATTGCCTGAGCTACCCTGAAAGGAGACCTGCAAACACTTATATGTACTTAATGGCAATCCAGTTTCAGGTGTGTAGATTCCACTATGCAGTC